TTATTTTTCTTATTCTTGTTATGATGTTAAATAAGAAAACTGGTGTAAATGCTTGGCGTTGTGGAGCATTTATGCTGAGCTGCACGTTCGAATGAACTACTGCTTATATTTCTGTAATGTAGACTTTATTATAAAGCACATTTTTCGACCTAGGTGCATCACAGCTTTTCTCCTCGACTTCTGACTTTGTTCGTGATTCTTAGACGATGCGTACCTAAATATAAAAAGAGTTGTTGACGCCTCAAAGTATACATCCAAACCCCAAACGTGTGTCGGAAGTCAACGCCCTCATACGCATGCGGGGGACTTTTATTTTGAACCGTTGAACTTCCTGTCCGTCATTTTGCTAGTACGTGTTGTTCTTGTTCTCGACTGGACACTCGTTTCAAAAACACAATTTAACGAAGATTTTTTTCAGTGTTTTCTGACTTCATCAGCATACCACCAACGAGTATTTAATTGAATAAGCATGGACCAAATGGAAGACCCTGCTGCATCGGATAATAAACGAGCTATAGAGCGGAAAAGGTAGGTTCTATATTGTAAACAACGGCCTGTTTGCGCTCGGAAGCTCCTAGTGTTTGGATTGCAGCCACTTAACCACTAAAGAAGCTGGATTAAATCCAGTATATCGCTGTTAAATGTCAAGAGAGCTGGATTAACGTCAATATATGACATTATATTAACAACTATTTAATGCTGCACATTAGCTGTTGGGAACGGTTAGGTATTTGTCATTATGACTGGTGTATTATCGTGACCTCGAAGCTCCAGTAGTACAGCACTTATTTATTATTATATATTTTTTTCCAAGTGCAGTACATCAGTTGAGGTCTAAACTGTTTATTTTGTTTCTTTTTTTTCGGTTAAAGTTTCCGTTAAAAAGCGTTTAAGTTCAGACCTCTTTTTTATGATATCTAAGATTTGTATTATGTGTTGAACTAGCGCGAGTTGAATAGCCGTGCGTCATGGTGTTTTGCTATTATTTATAGTACTATGATAATAGACCATGATAAAAATTCCCCAAGGGAGGGACCTGCATTTTTATGACGCAGCACTGGCTACATATTAAACCGCTGTTTTCTTTCCTATGTATAGGAGTTGAAGATGCCAAAGGAGGATTTCAGAGAGGACAAGCTTTCAACATCAGCACCGTCCATCACTTTGTCCCTCCCCTCATCCCCTAAACATCAGGCACAGGTGGAAACACTGGTTCACAGCCACGTTTTGTAGTTCTAGATTGCGTTCTGATATATAATTGGATTTGTGACATACAGTAGAACAAACTGCAATGCAATATGTTATTGTTAGTAATATTATAATTAAGTAGTATACTGATAATTTATCTCTTTGACCCTGACAGGCACTGGTTTAGCCAGAGACCTCACCCCAATATTCCATTTAAGTCCAGCAGTTTCACCACAAGCGTTTCGATGGGAGGTAATGAAGGAGGTGGACAGGGAGGAGAGCGATGGAGCCTCTTCGGGGTGCGGCCCATCGTGCAGAAATCCCCCACTGACCCAGGATCAGAAACCAACACACCTGGCAAGAACCTGTTATACGGATTAATTATTTTAGGTTTTAAAGATGCCTAATTATACCCTCAGATTTGTTTAGATTTGCAATATTTGTTCTGCACCAAGATTTTTTTATTTTATTTTGTTGTGTCATTAATTATATTTGAATATTATACTATATTTATTTATGAAAATTGCTTCTGTACTCATATTTTTCAGTGTATATTATCGCCTAGCTCTAATTTGGTAAATGTGACTCAAAGGCATGAAGAAATTAAGATGATATAAACATTAACGTCATGTGTATTGTGAAAAGCGGTGTATACATTTTGGGAAATTCACAATAAGACCCGGAATGTGTTAATGTAAACATTTTTTCCTGCTGTTTCCATGACTACAGGGGGATTCATGATGCAATCGTACTTTGGGGTTCAGAAGTCCAATACAATAGATGGCATGAAAACCCAAATAAACCTCACGGTTGAAGATCCCGCCAATTTCAAATCTCCCAAGATCGAGATGAGCGGCGAGGACGGAAAGAAAACATCCTGTCACAGACTGAGACATCGAGACATGAACATTCTCACTCCTTCCGGCTTCTGAGCTCCACAAGTCTTGAACTCTCCTAAGCTTCCTCGCCTTTTATATACACATTATAGCACAAAATGGCACTTGCTATTTTATGGTCTCTTGTGAGTAACACCACACCAACTTATCCTGTTTCCCCATATAACTTGAATAGAATTTCCCTTTAAATTAGATAAGAGCTGTAGAATCTCTTAAATTAGTGCCAAGCTTCATTGATAGTTGTTTTTATGCCTCCCCCACACCCCAAAAAGACCACTTTTTTTAAAAAACATTTTTCATGTTGTTGTTTTTTTATTACTGTGTGCTATGACAAAGTGATTGCTTTTGATTGTTGTGGTTTAAATCTACCACAGTAAAAACCTATCCAAAATATGCATAATTATCAATAAGCTTGTGTTTTTTTGTGTGCGATGCGCTCACAAGTACATCCGTTAACAGTAAATCTGAATTTTGTGGATCATTTTGAAAGCTTGTGTATACTTGTGTAAACATGTTTCAACAGCATTTTGTATTAGATTGATGGATTTCATCAGTGCACGTGTTGTAGTTAAATAGCACATCAACAGAATAAGATACTGTTGCGCACATCAGTTTATTTCCACTGTAAAACATGCAATCTTAAAGTCAGATTTGACTAAGCAGTCAGGTATCCATCTTTCAACATAGTTGAAACATGTTTAAGTGCCATTTTTGTGACTTAACTGAACTGCTTATTTAGTTCAGGTTACTAATTTATTTTATTAATTGATGACATTAACGTGGTATTTTATCTTGTGTGGTTCCCCGTGTGCAATAAGCAGCATTGTTTGTATCAGCATGCTGAAAGCACCCCATTTCTATCACTGGGTTTCACACTCATTTCATTATAATTTTTTTTACATTTAACACAAAAGTCTTTTTTTTATATAGTTTTGTGGCATTTTTTCCTTTATTAAACACAACAGTAAAGTACTATTTACGTACATTATGAAGTTTCTGAATCATTTTACTGTTGCTGTTTTGCACATTTGTAGTGGAAGCGCTTTGGCTTTACAATATTCCACTCTGTTCATGTTGTAGTTTGTTTTCTGTAGTGCTTGAATCTGTTATTAGTATGTTACGTTTTGTAAGTCCGAAGTGGCTTTTTTCATCTCAGGCCAAATTGTTTAATACCAGTCACATGTTGTATTACCATCACATATTACCTGTTCATATTGCTCAGTTTGGGTATGTTATTCCTATAATAAAACATCGCTGTCAAGCACAATAAACAATTGTGATTGTATTTGATTTATTTTAGAAACCGTTTAATCATGTCGTCATGATTTTTAAAATTGTATTTATGATCATTTCAATATGTTCCCTGGGGTTTACTTATGTTAATTTTTTATGTTAATAGTGTTTATAAATGCTTCTGGAAGTAAATTAATGACAAAAGACTTTTTAAACAAAAAAGTATGTTGAACTGCAATAATTGAAGTAAAACTGCTTGAAATATTTTAAATTCGGCAGAATGTTCAAATTCGATTCTAACTCGGTAAAATATTCAACTTTGAATATCCGGGAACTACAGGAACAGCACTAGCAGTAGCGTACTCATGCATAATCTCCATCTGCTTCATATTTTTTAAAATGGTTTTGGAAATGGTGATTTTGTGAGGTGAATATTTATAGAATTTTTAAGAATGAAAATGTGATTTTTTTTCCCAGTTTAAATATTCACAGCTTAAATATACAGCCATGTTGAATGACAACTCCAAGAAATACAATGCATTAAATATGACCACTGTTAATGCAATGCATCTTTTTTGTTTCAAAGACTTTTGTCATTGATTAATTTAATTTTCAAACAGCATTTTGACCCTTATAATCCGTTTTCGAGGGGTTGTCCCTTTTAGGCTTGACAGTAAACGATCACTGTTATGATTGGCTAACAGTATCAATGCACCCTGGCTATAGCACGTAAGCAAAGACTAGAAATACAAGTAAGCTTTTTAAAAAACGGGTTTTGATGCGGCT